GTGTGTGTGTGTGTGTGTGTGTGTGTGTGTGTGTGTGCACAGTAAATTTTGCGCAAACAGTTTAGATTATTCAATTAATCAGGCGACAAGTGGGAAAAATATAACGAGGATAAGGAAGAACGAGCAAATCTTTAAGATAAGAAAGCCGTGAAACGCTATACCGACCCAATCATTATTTCTTTACTCGTAATTTGTTTTATATATGTACGTTATATATAGATAATTATGAAATAGAAAACTAAGTTATTTTATCAAGTGCCCTTGCTTTGTATTATAGTCGCGTCCGTCGACGAGCCGTAGCTTCTGGGAGTAAAAGAAAGAAAGGGAGAATGGGGAGTTAGAAAGAATGCATCGAGAGCGAACGAGAGACTAAAAACGAGCGAGTGCGTGTGTTGTTAAAATGTTGCGTCAGTTATTGATACAATGTGGGTACCGGGGTATTGATGACAATTCAATACTATCAATGTGATTGGCAGAAGTATGGTGAGAGAGGAGAATACATTACAAGTCTGAACAGAGTCTACTACTTAGATCCGTCGCTTCAATTTTGACAAAAAAAATGTCAACCGCTCCCACATCCCGCATCCCACTTTTCGCAAAAAGAAACACGCGGACAAAGATGCACGCTCTTGGATTTCTTTTTCTATTTTATAAGATTTTTTAGAGGTGCACACGACGTCACGCACATCATGTCATTATTTGACAATCTCATTGCGAGGCCACGCGGCTTCCAAAACGACATTTGCGTTGCAGTTCGACAGTTTTCCTATCTACGTGGATTCTCGAAAATCGCTGACTCGACAAGAAAAGGGGGTATTAACACGATCGATAAATGTAAGAATTGTTATTTGCATCATTTCCCTGTTATATCACTTTTATGAGTGAATACTTCAGATTGGGTAGAGCTTATATCTAAAAAGTTTACTGCAGCCGGCCTTAAGAAAATTATCCGGAGGTGTAATTCAACGAGCGTTTACGCCTTCGGAATCTCTCGCGGTGAACGAAAACTAGGATTTACGGGAGAGCATACAGGGCTCGTATATCTACACTTTGCGACAGAAAGGATATTTTACATTTGTACATATCTATAGAATTCCTCGGGAACGTAATTACGTGCATGTAAAATAGGATGAGAACTAGGGAAGAAAGAAAGAAAAAAAACTTTTTATCGACAACTTTTTTTCACTGAACACAAATAAAGAGAAAAATACTTTTCTATTGATTATAAGGTATTACCATGATCTGTAACACTGTTAAATATCCGTAATGTCGAATACTGTTTTTTTTTTTATTGTCCTTGCGTCTCGCCACAGTCACGATCTTTCTTATGATAAAAGAAAAAAGGAACGAAAAGGGAAGAAACAGGAATTACGTCGAGGATGGTGTATGAAAACATTATAGCAATAAATTACGTATTTGTGTATAATTTAAAAGTTAGTAAACTTATTAATTATATATAAATCACACGCGTCTCTCACGGTATGCATTTGCTTTTCGTTTCTCTTCCTTCATTTTCGTTTTATTTCCGTCATTTTAGCGAACAATATTGAACAATGAGTTGCCGAATAAAAAGTTAGAACATTTTTACACACACACATACACACACGTGTGTGTGTGTGTGTGTGTGTGTGTGTGTGTGAATTATATAAAAATGAAAATCGCCGGAGATACACGAAATATTGATCAGGCTGAGAACGCGCGCACCTGGGCCGAGGGCTAATCGATTGGTCTCTATCGAGATATTTGTTTAATAACAGGTGTAAAATCGTTGCGCCAAATGCAACCACAATAATTCTTTTTAATCTTATCCTACGGGTGAACAAGTATGCGTACACAAACTAGTATAATTTATAATCGGAGAGGTCGAATTTAATTAACACCAATATGCCTCGAAGTTATCGGTTCCTTCGATCTCACACACATGTGGATACAGAAGATGAAATAGATATTATACGAGAGAAGAGAGGAGGAGAAACACGTAAATTGTAAGGGGGAAACCGATCGGTTTTTGATTCGTATATTCTATCTCGATCGTATTCCTGACTGAAGTTACGTGAAGAATCGTGATTCTCAGGCTGCGTTCCGATATTCACTGCCAGTACTAAAAATCTATAGTGTATGTACGTGACATAAACTATAGTAGATTTTCAGTACTGGGAGTAAATATTGGAAGCATCAGTTATTTGGTCACGTCGAGTCTGACTCTCGCTCAGCATTTTTAAAATTTTACTAAAATCCGACTTCTTTGTTACCTAAAATGATACAAAAGCACGAAGTAAACTTACTTTATTATTACGTATGGTCAGTATAAGGTTAAAAAAGTAAAACGTCCGACAGCTTTGCTCAACCGATATTGAGCGTCGCATAATTCTAAGATCCGTTCTATGTATATATGTATAATAGTTAGTTACCGCTGTATAATTTCTTTAGTTTTTAGACAATTTGAAAAAATCCATATTATATATGACGTATGTAAAAATATATTTAAAAATTGTGTAATTTCATATTTTGCTTTCTTTTCATTTTCTACAAAACGTTTATTTTCCGGAATCGGCATATATCTCTGTATGTCTCTCTCTCTCTCTCTCTCTCTCTCTTTTCAAGTTTTAATCGAATTGAACAAATAAGGTTTCGGCAGCGAGAATAATGTGAAAATAGTTGTGCGATAATAATTTGAGATCCCGGAGAAATGTTCCCTGGTTTTGCACGGTATTAATTAATCTATCTAGCGTATGCGGCGCCGAATATTTTCTTTGCCAGACAGGAGCGTGCCACGTGCCCTCTTTTGGAAAAAATAAAGTAAATTAACGTCTAAACACATTGGATTATATATCGATATCACAAACAACACAATATAGTTTGCGCTAAAAAAAAATTTTTTGAGATCTTAATTATGCGATGAAATTTGTGAGTATTCTGGACACATTCGACCTTGCAGCACTGTATACGGCATATTAAATTTCACGAAATTCCACTCGCAACATTATGCGTTATTCGAGAAGCAAAATTATGTACAAGGTTGTACGGAGCGTTTCAGAAAGAATGTGCCAGAGAACGACTGCATTGCTCGGGTAAATCTTCAAATATTACTCGAGTAAGCAAAAATACAAATTTTTATTCCAAATTATTTCCACTTTCAAAACTATTGGAGAAACGCATTCCATATTCCTGCAGATTCTGTACGAAGCACCCCATATAAAATTATTACTAATGTCACGACCAACAATCGGTGGGGACGAAATCTCCGAAATTTTCCAAATAAAATTGTGCCACGTCTCTTCACAACGATCCATGAGTTTCGTCTTGCCTCCAAATTCACACTCTAAACTACTTCAGTCAACTACGTCGTCTCTGGCATTTTTCAAAGTGTATGACGACGTTCAATCAGAATCATCGCTGTCGTCTGACTTTAATGCGTAAGATACAGGCTTCCGAACTCTACCGGCAACCTTCCGGGGCGGTGGTAACGGCGAATCATCCGTTGTCATCTCTTCGTCAGAATCTGATTTCTTCTTTTTCTTCTTCGTCTGTAAAAAGAAAATTAAATCAGTGAAACTCTCGAAAGAATTATTGTTCTAAATATTATACGAACAAATATATCGACTTAAAAAGGCCTGCTTACATGACTTTGTTTAGTGGTAAATATATCATCCGTGTCAGAGTCATCAGATGATTTTGATTTCTTCTTTAATTGTCTTTTTACTCCTTTGTTACCACCGTTCTCAGTCTTCTTCTTGGTAGGTGCTGTAAATGCACAAGATAAGCAATGATTACAAAATAGTTTTTATTTAGTCATGACTCAGTTAAATGCCAATTACCCTTTTTAGGCGGCGTAAACTTTATAGGCGAATCTTCCCCGGATGAGGATATTACAGGTTTCTTCTCAGATGAAGATTGTTTCTCAGGAGAATTGCCGACTAATGAATCGAAAAGTTCTTCTGAAGTCGCTGCAGAGATAAAAAAATATATGTAATAACTGCGTTGTTTAATTTAAATATATATCGTGTATCCTTACGTGTCGGTTGAGGCAGTTTCTTGCTCGGTTTAATGTTGTCATCGGAATCACTTAGCGCTACAATGGACTCTTTCTTCTTGCATCTAAACAAGACATGTGATGAGAAATTGCTCTATGCAAATCAATGATATATTATACGTACATTTGTTCCGAATCAGAAGATGGATTAAACATTTCGAGACTGTCATCCGAATCCTCGCTGCTCATATTGTATTTCTTCTTGGCTGTTATTTAAACAGATTTAACAAATAGTAAAAGCAAGATTTCAAAAAATATGACAGAATGTAATCTATTTTAATAATCTTTTGGCTCGAGAAAAAAATAGAGACTGATACCTGCGGATCTACGAGATGATCGTGGTTGCGGAGGTGGCGAAATGCTACCGAAATCAATGTCATCGCTATCGTCCGAATCCTTATCCTTCTTTTTGGTTCCTTTCTTGATCGGCTTAAATTGTAACGTAGTTTGCTTCAATCCTGTTTATACGAGCAAAAGGGCTTATCGTTAAAATATCCGTTGTAAAATATGTAATTTATGAATTAAAATTTACCAACCCTTCTTTGTAACTTTTTTCTCCATTTTTTCAGGAGAATTTCCAAGTCTACATTCGAGAGGTTTACTAGAATCGACAAACGTATCGAATTCATCTTTCTCCTCCATGATTTGCTCTTTCTTTACCTGATACAAAAATATTGATATAATAACGACACAAGTATGCAAATAAATTAGATAACACATAGTAGATTTACTTTCGGTTTTTTTATGCCTTCTTTCTTATCCTTCGATACAATGTCGGCCTTCTCAATCTTTTTCTTCAGTTCAACGTCGATGACAGGAAGTATGCGACGAGTGTCTTCCATCTTGTAAAATCTCGAGGGCGGTTTTTTCTCAGATTGTTTCGTTTTTTTCTGTTCCTTCTGCTCCTTTTCTTCGAGCTATATGAAAATCGTAAGACAATTAGAAATAAACGAGATAAATTTTCTTTCAAAGTAAACCTTACTTTATTTAATTCGGCTAACAGATTGTCCAGATCCTCCTTCCATAAAGACATCGGCGTGCGAGCTTGCAATCTCTTCAGCTCCGCTATCTTCTCGTCCCGCTGACGCAACAAATCATCCTTCTTTTCCTTCGTCAAGCTCCACATCGTCATTCCGAGAAGGTAATCGAAGTTTTCCTTCTCTATCGCGTTTGCGGTTGGAGCAGCCTCTTCATCGTTTTCTACAGCTTCTTCCTATTTATTTACAACAATGAGAATTATTAGTAAAATTTTACACACACACACACACACACACACGCGCGCGCGCACACGCACGCACGCACGCACACGCACGCATGCACGCACGCACGCACGCACACGCACGCACGCACACGCACGCACGCATGCACGCACGCCCACGCACGCACGCACGCACGAACGCACGCACGCACGAACGCACGCACGCACGCACGCACGCACGAACGCACGCACGTTTGTCGACACGAAAAAGGCTTTTTACAAAGACAATCATAATCCAAAGCTCTATACCTACTGAAAATTTTCTGCTTATTTTTGTTAAATAGCAAAGAGTTTCTGCTAAAAAATTTATATTATTGGAAAATGGCTATTTGTTAAAAAACCTTTATGTTACAACGTCTACATTGGAAGTTTTACATACTGTTTCTTCCTAAATTAACTTACTTGATCCTCCTAGCGTAGCAAAATAAATAAATTCCAATAAATAACTAACATTCTTTTGCGCTTGCAAGGAATTTTCAAGCAAAAATCTACTTGCCAGTACTTGCTCTCTATCCTGCGATAGTTTCCAAGCTACCAACGGATCCGAATCATATTTGCTTCTGACTAATTCCGCAATCATATCCTTCTTTTTCTTGTTCTCTATCACTAGAGTGCCGTCGCATTTTTCGAGGATGAAGCGCGCCTGATTTGTCAACTTCTCCGCTTCCGCTTGCAAAGCTCCTTCCAGGTAATTTTTCCTCTTGTGATATGCCTCCAATCGTACTTTATAAAATACTTTCAATATCTGTACTACACTGTCGTACTTGTTCAAGCATTGATTCTCATCAAATGCACACTGCACAAAAAAATATCGTTGACGAATTTCCAGTCTTATTTGTTATTAGTACTATTCAATATTTCTGGTATCTTACCATAGATGTTATACTCGTAGTTGTCTGAAGTTTAAATACTTTGTGAAGACCATCTTTTTCTAACTCCACTAATTTGTCACGGTTCATCATTACTATGAAGTGTACCGCAGTATCTGTGTTGTACTCTTTGTAATCCCTATGATAAAATGAATATTTTTGAAAAAATTATAGAAATTTTCCGCAATTTTTCTTATCATTCATCAATTGTAACACTTACGTAATGATAGCTGGAGTTTTATCAGTTCCATGTAACATAGGTTCTAGCACAGTTTCCTTGTAAGCTTGCGTCCACGTACCAATAGGAAGTTCAGTGATCTCCACCTTATCAGGTCCAATTATTGATATTTCTCCGCTTATAACATAACGGTAATCCCCGCAGCTTTCTACGACGCCTTTGAAATTTTTATAATACGGTATCTAAACAAAATTTTCAATTACGTGACGCAATTCAAGATAGCAATAGATATTTTGATATTTTGAGTATTCTGTATAATTATTAAGTATATATAACATTCCTATAGTGATTTTAACTTTCTAATTTAAGTAATTTATCGATACATACCATTGGTTTTGGGTCCGCACCATCCATCATCCTATGTATATTCTCGATTATCTCTCGAGGATTATAGTTTGGTATTTTCGTCATCCATCCAGTACCGATACCATCAGCACCGTTTACTAATATCATAGGAATCACAGGTATGTAATAGACAGGTTCGATTCTTTGATTGTCGTCGTACTCGTGTTTCAGTAGAGGATCATCATGTTTATGGAATATATACCTTGCCAAAGGACTATGGAAGAAAGAGAGCATGCAGAAATACGTATTTCTTTTTTTTTTTTGCAAATATAATAATGGCAAATACCTGAGCATTGTGAAAATATATCTCGGACTAGCAGCATCCTTTCCGCCAGCAAGTCTTGTACCGAATTGACCAATGGGTTGCAGCAGATTAATGTTGTTGCTGCCCACAAAATTCTGCGCGAGATTAATTATGGTCGCCATTAGGGATGTCTCACCATGATGATAAGCCGAATGTTCGGCGACCGATCCCGCTAATTGCGCGACTTTCACCTCACGTTTGTCATTGCGTTTCAAACAGGTGAACAATACTTTTCTCTGACCCGGCTTAAAGCCGTCCATCATGTTTGGAATGGATCTTACATTATCATAATTGCTGTACAGTACCAGTTCGACGTTGATGAAGTCTGAGAAAGTTACAGTGTGCGTGTTCTTCTCATAGAGATAACGCTCGCCTAGGCCAATCTCCTTTCGCCTCTTTGTTTCATTCATGTGGTTCATTAACCAATCTTTACGTTGGTCGACACATTTCTTGCTAAACGCCATGATGATGTTCTGATCATCCTGATCGCCCTGGTATTGGAAGCGTATTCTGTGTCTGGCCATGTTTTCGAAGTACTCCTTCGCCTCCTTGGCGGTCGAAGTACCCAAACCTGTGTATTAAAAAAAAAAAATTGTTAAATGAGTCTTGTATAAATATCGATAATTAATGAAATGCCAGGAAATACAAATTTCTGAGTAAACACCTTTGTAGTATTTGATTTTATACGTGTGAAAGTTTTCTGTTTCCTTCTTCCAATCTTCAAATTCCGGCAGAGAGAAGAAAGACAAAACTTGATTGCCCTTAGTGGCCTTCACGATAGGTGTAATAAATTCTTCAATGAAGTTCAACTTTAATAATGACGGCCAGTTATGATGGATAAAATTGATCAACAGACCTTTGATATGTGAACCATCCTAAAGAGATCCAAATTTAATCGTAAATACTTATGATAAATAAATAAATAAATAATAAATAAATAAATAAGTGTGCGTGCGTGTGCGTGTGTAATATCTTCTGCGCGAAAAATTTAACCTGATCTTGATCAGTCATGATCATCATTTTTCCATAGCGCAACGTTTTCAAATCGTCTCGAGTTTCGTATTTCTTTTTATATTGAAGACCAAGAATTTTTATCAAATTGTTGATTTCGGCGTTTTCCAAAATCTGCTTATGGGTAGCCTCCCGTACGTTTAACATTTTACCTATGATCAAATACCGATTAGTCTTATCGTAGCATTAAAATTTATCCATTTTTTCAGTAAAATAAATTTACCTCTCAATGGAAATATGCCATATTTATCTCTGCCTATGGAAGCGATACCGGACACAGCCATTGTTTTGGCTGAGTCTCCCTCAGTCAATATGAGTGTGCATTCCAGTGATTTTGCAGTTCCTGCATCATTGGCATCCTCTAACTTGGGTATACCGTGAAGTTTTCTTTGCTTCGATTTGGGACCTAATTTTTCAAGCTGACTGTCAGCTTTAAACTTCGCCCAGGATAACACTGCTTCCACAACACCAATTTTGGCGATCTGTAATTGCATTGAAAAGAATGATCAAATGCATAGATAAACGCGAACCTTTGATATAAATATTTGCACTTACTGAGGTGATAAACTTATCAGTTAGTGTGCATTTAGAGCCAAAGCTCTTTGGCTGCAGAGTCATATTCTCCTTAGTTTGCGAGTCAAAGGTGGGATTGTTGATGAGACAGTTAACGAAGATCCACAAGTGATTCTTGATTTGAAACGGCTTAATGGCAACACCAGCTTTATTCTTCTTCTTTAACGTTTCAATCAATTGCTTGACTATCATGTCTGTCACATGATCAATGTGTCTACCACCCTATAGATATTCGGCAAATTTAAATATTTGAAACAATATTACCCTTCACAGAAAATTACTGTACATCTTACCTTTGTTGTTGCGATACTATTTACAAAGGACATTTGTTGAAATCCTTTATCAGATAAAGTAAGAGCCACTTCCCAGCGTGGACCACAATTCTCATACACAACTTTCAGTGGGTTACCGACATCGTCTTCTTTTCCTTTGATGTAAAAATCAACATAATCTTTAAAATTCTTTACTGGTATACGGCTCCCATTCAGATAAACCTTGACGCCCTTCGAGGAGGCAGCTACATCATATGCTCTTCGAGACATTAGTGATACAATATCGTCATCGAGAGATTGCATCTTGAACTTTGTCAAGTCCGGCGAAAATGTGACTTTTGTGAAATCCTCTCCGTAATAGTCCTTAATTCTAGGCTCGCTAGCTTTTCCCATATTATTGCCCCACGTCTGTAAAAGAGAAGAAAATTATCATGTGATAGAACTAAAGATGGAGATATCAATGTGTTTTTGCTCACTTGTTTTAAGCATTTCTTGTATTCCTTTGTTGCAGTCTCGACAGTAAAACGATGACTAAAAATGTTACATAGCTTGGCACCGTAACCATTCCTACCACCGGTCACTTTCTCTTCTTCGTCATCATAATTTGATGATGTCAGAAGGTGGCCAAATATCATGGTAGGTACATACATGTTCTCGTCTTTGTGTATCACTACAGGAATGCCTTTGCCGTTGTTCCATACAGAAATGGTGTTATTTTCCCTATAATAGAATAGCATTTAATTAACAATACAATTTATGGTAGATTTTTGTGAATTTTGAAATTTATTTTTTAATATGACTTACGAGTCAATGTCAATCTTGATCATATCCATCTTAGAATCACGTTGTTTATTATCGGCAGCATTTACCAGGATCTCATCAAAAATCTTATATAATCCAGGAACGTATCTTATTTCCTTCTGTACCATCATTTCCTTCTCTTTGTCAAAGACCCACATCATTTCTGTTAGTGGCTCTACAGATCCGATGTAGGTATCTGGACGCAGCAGAATGTGTTCCAACTGTGATTTCTTTTGATAGATACCTTCAATGGTTTTCTGCTTGGTAGCTGGCTTCCCGTTGCCAGCCCCATTTTCCATGGCTGTATTCATTTTGATACAAGGTACTTTTAAATATCTACAAATCAATAAAATAGAAGTTACACATAGAAATCTAAACAAACTTCTACTACGAGAAACAAAATGTATTGGTAAACAGCTCTGCTTTTGTGAAATCGTTTTCGAGCAATCAAATTTAACTGTCACAGATTCTAATCGTATCTAATTGTTGAAGACA